CAGAGAACGCCTGAAATGACAATGAAAGAGGAAGAACTTTAAAGAAGCACAGAATGCTGATCCTTTCAAAACCTAACTGTGTACAATGCAGACTGGCCATGTCGCTCAAACATGTACTGTGGTCATTTCCCCCTTTGACAGCTCAGTGTGAAGCCCTTAGTACATTGAATGTGATTTAATGCTTCATGTTTTCCAACTTATGAATAAATTATTGACTTAAAATTGGTGTGCCACTTTAATGTATAAAGGAATAATATATAGAAACGACATGACATTTTACATTTTCCAAGGTAATTTGCAAACCTTAAATGAATAATGCAGACAGCTCCGCTGGGAGCAGGTCAGAGAACAGTACGCACAGTGTTTCCATGAGAGTTCCCAGGGAATACAGTCACATAACTGCTATGTTTAGAAACTGCACGTAAGGAGACAAATACAACTCCTCTGGGGTAAGGTGACTTTGAGTCTAGAAAAGCATTACAGAGGGTCCACAGGAAGTGGAATGGGCATCTCCAGTTGGTATAACTATGGTAAGGGTATGCATGGCTTATTAGTATTACACACATGACATCACACAGGGGCCAGGAACCTTGTTCCTTGTGTACAAGATGGACAAAATGGAATAAGATACCTTCACAGGATCTGGGCGCAGAAGGATTATTTCCGAATGAAGAAAAGGAAGGGCCGATGTAAGCTCAAAGCCCGTATTTTAAAGCTTGGTCAGTGCGTCTACTGAAAACTATGGCTGCCGTTGTTCAGCCTTGGGACATCCGAGGGGCTATCCCACAGCACTGCTCCAGAATACAGTGTGTTTTCTCACTGTTGGGGTCTACGGTAGAGAGTAACCTCTCTTTTCTGGTCCTGTCAGCCCCACTTCCGTCTACAATTTTCTTTGGTACGTACAGTCTTCCTGCCTGCTCTTTACGGCAAACTTTTTCTATCAGACGATTCTATAGTACTGTGAACTTCTGTCTCTACAGCAGCATTCACAGGTCTGACTTTTGCAAACTGTTTTCAGGCTACTCCAGCTTCTATTGCTGTGCTCTTTACAAAAGGCTTGTCTTTCAAATACATGCTGAGGACAATGACTATCTACCATGCTCCGGCACATTTGCTTGGGGACTCGCGGACTCCCTACACTGGTCTCTCCTCCCTCTGTCTTAAGGCTTTGTCCAACCCATTTTGCTCTAGTCCCAACTGCTTGACTCAAAGAACTAAAAGTGTCTGAGCCAGGAGATGCTTACTGAAGGCCTCCAGACAGTCAGACATAGTCCAGTGTTCTGCTGAAGGCATCAAGAATCCCCATTCTTTTCCACATTCTGCATCCTAATTTCCCCTGTATTGAATTTTGTCGTCAAGCCTGTCACCTCATGACTGAAACACGGATGCTGCATGACTAAGATGCCATCAAACCCATTTCTGGCCCAGAGAAGAACACATGTGTGGTTCTGCCACCACCACTTCTCAGAACTGTGACTTGGCTGCCCAACCCTAAGTGCAGGCTGGAAACAGATCTTAGCTTTTATAGCTTCCTGAAGAAAGAAAGACAGGGAAGACAGGAACAGGAAACGAAGTTGAACCTGCTAGACAGGGCTGTTCCGACAGATATAAAGAAATCTCCTCTTCTTCTCCCCAGTGGCCAGAATGCTTGGTTCTGTTGCCTGTGTTCCAACCCTACGTCAGTGACTTCACATAGCGGACCTTATTTGTTTGAAAGGAAGTTCCATTCATGCTACAGCAAGTGTAATAATCACAGAATGTTGATTTATGCATTAATTCTTCCCTTCATGTTCCGCTGTTGCGCCCCTACCCTCTATACCAAGCACAGCAGTACCGTGTTGACTAATGTGTTCTTCTTGTCATTGAGCACATGTGTGATCTATAGGGCTTAATTAGAGATACAGCTAGTAGAAGAAAAAATGCATCTTATGGTGACTTCGACCATGTTGTTTAATTAAAAATACTCATGAGGCTGGGCGGTGGTGGCACACGCCTTTAATCCCAGCACTCGGGAGGCAGAGGCAGGCGGATCTCTGGGAGTTCGAAGCCAGCCTGGTCTACAAGAGCTAGTACCGGGACAGGCACCAAAGGTACAGAGAAACCCTGTCTCAAAAAAAAAAAAATACTCATGAGGACCTGGGCAAGGTGGCACGTGACCATGATTCCAGCAGAGAGAAAACTGGAAAGGAGGTAGACAGCTGACAGTGTGAGTGTGTTGGGTCCTGTCTCTGTGGCCTTCCCCATCCTCATGAATACAGGATCGTTGTCAGGCCAAACATCTCATGCTTTAAGACCGTGAGCAAAGCCAGTCAGGAAGGTGGGAGAAATCTTCTCCTAAGCATCCCTACTTGAGCAAAGAATAGTTTTCCCAAGTCCTCCTTAGATTCATGGGCTGAAAGGGAGTCAAATAGTCACTCCTAAATTTAAGGGACGCCAGAAAAGCATCTGTTGAGCTAGGGATGTGGGATTGGGAATGACAGTGAACAGCCAACCGGAAGTGCTGTCACGAGTGCCCACAGTCTTCTATATGCTTTTTACCTTCACCATCTCATCTGGTGACTCCATAGGACTGCCAGCCAAATGCTCTGCTCTGGAACCGGGAATGGGGGGTACAGCAGCATCTGCCACGTGGGAACTTCTGGCTGCGAAGTAACTTCCAGAGCCTCTGAAGATGTAAATGGAATGCAAAGCAAACGTCTTTCCAGACATTATAATGCATGTGCTCATAAAGTATCCCTGCCAGATCCTGGAGGGTAACTCAGAAGATTTTATAGTTTGGGAAGATAATTATATGCTGGTGTGACAAGGTAAGTAAGAGCTGGGATTCTCCACTCGGCTTGGAGTGGGATGCTGGAAGGATTCTGAGCCCATCTGTAAAGCCATGCACTAGAACAAGAGTAGATGATTCCTTACGCCCCGCTCCAAGATTGGAGAGCCCATAGCATCATCATGCCGGCAGCCTGGGGTTCAGAAACATTCAGTGTAATTGGTTTCAAGCTCTGTTTTACAAACAAGGTAGCAGACTCAGGCAGGCAGGTCATTGTTTGCCTGAAGTCTCTCTCTTAGGTTGGAATGTTGAGTCCCAGGAAACACAGCACACAATGACTCCACATATCAGTCATATTCCAGTCTGGTAGGATTGACAGTTTTTTTGACGTCTTCATTTCCTATCTTTTTGTATCAGCCAAAACCTCTCTGATTACAGTTATACCACTTAATAGAATGCAAATAATGAGATAATTTTTATAAGCCCATGTTTTAACCATGTGCTTTCAAATAAATCACTTGTTTCTCTGTAAAATAATAACTACCACATCTCCTCCCTTTTGTTGAGAATTCGATGAAGCCATCTATCCATAAACCTAGAGTACCGACATTCAGTAATGAAAATCTGCACTTGACCTCATCACTGCTAATGCCTCCCTGGCAATCCCGGATACTGTCTAAGCCTGAGAAAGTGTCCTGGACAAGTTCTCCAGTAAGCAGAGTGTGAGTGTGTGGGTGAGTCTGGCTGCCACTATATAATTTTGTCTGTGCTGGTGTCTGCTACCTCCACATTACACAGATGGATGTGTGATAACCGGGGGGTGGGGGATGGTGGGGGGTGGCACTTAGCTGGACGGCAGACCAGTCATATGGCTACCACCCACGCTCAGCAACTGGTGATTTGCACATGAAGAATTCAAACAAGTTAACGAGGGGAAACTTCTAGACCTCCTCCCCAGCCTTGGCCCTGTTCTCACTTCTAGCTTCTGGATGGGCCCTGTGTACTACAAGGAGCTGGATCCCTGGTTTTTATGGACTAGTGGCCAGTAGTGTCTTCCCAGTCATGGGTCATGCTTATCAGAAACATCCCCAGACTTTGCCCAATGTCTCCTGGGAACTATGTTTTGCCCTTCTGAGGAATTTTGTGAGAGAGCTTCATGTGGGCTCCATTGTTTTCATGGGCGGCTCATCACCTGCATTATATTCTTACAAAGGACTGGCTTGGAATCAATCCCTTAAAACCTTTCGACCAATCAAGAAACATCTTCTGTCTCCGGCTGATGCTCCCTAATTAAACGGTGTACTTGAAATTTTATTACGAAATATATTCTCTCCCATTTATTACTTCCACCTACTTTGGCAAGGCACATCACAAAAACTGTATCTGGGAAAGGCCAGCACTACTTCAAAAGTTGCCGTTCCCAGATGGCAGCTTCCTAAAAATAACCGTCCTCAGTCAGTGGAGGCTCCCGGGGTCAGTCAGTTCCCTACAGAACACCGCTGAGGCTTCCAAAAGGTTCAAATGCTGCCGGCAAGTCAGAACCCGGGAAGATCCGGAGGGGAAATAAAAAGGAGCTGGTTTTCAGAAAGGAAATCCAAAGGCTGTGTAGATTATAAGATTGATTATGGGAGGGGAATGGAGAGAGTAAGAGGAAGGGAAGGAGAAAGGAAGGTGGTGGAAAGAGGAGGGAGGGGGGTTGGGTGAGAGGAAAAGCGGGGGAGGGGCGGGGAAGGGAAGACCGGGAAGAGGAAGAGAAATGTCTCCAAGGAGGTTCCCCAAGGTGTGCAGCTGTTGGAAGAGGCTGGCTAGAGGAGTCATCTGCCTTCTCCCTGACTTGTCCCTCTCTGAACCCAGCAGTCTCACGTGGCGTGCCCAGCCTTTTCCCTACGTCCTCACCCTTCCATGGTCTCTGTCCTCCAAAGTGATCACTTCTCAAGAGCCCTTTAAAGCTCACAGACCTCACTCTACCCGCTCTTCCGAGGCTACTTCCCACCCTCGTCTTGGTTAAGGCTGCGGGAACACTGCAGTTGCAGACCCCAATGTGTGACCCAGAAAAGAATACAGGGGTAGGGTGTGGCCTCGGCGCCCCCGAGGAGCTGCGGAGAAGGCGAGCAACTTTCTCCCAGATTTCTCGGTCTGTCTGCCGCCCCCACTCTCGCGCGTCCAGGACTGCGCGGCGGGGCCAAGGGGAGGGGACAGCGGAAAGGGGAGGGCGGGGAGGAGGCGGCGCGTGCCTTGCCTGCCAAAGCTGGAGCCGGCATCCGCGGAGCTCCCGGGCCGCACGGCCACAGCCGGCGGGCTCTCCGAGCGGGTCCTCCTGACCCTCCACCCGAGCTCCCCAGAGTCGTCCCGATCTCAGTCGCGATAGTGGCGAAGGCGAGAAGGACAGTCTTTCGTGTCGCCCGGTCCCCGCCAGGAAAAGACAGCAAGTTGTGTTGAGCTCGGGACCCGCTAGGGACCGTGGCCGCCGCCCGGCCGGGTAAGTAGCGTGCCCCGCGGCCCCGAGCCCGGCACCGGGGTCCCCGATGACTTCCTGAGCAGCGTGGTTCAGCTGTGGTCGGTGTTGGCCTCCGGGGGGTGCTGCCTTCCCATCCTTATCCGCCCCTTTCTCGGAGCCGGCTGCAAGAACTTCCCCGTGCCGCTTAGCATCCAGAGATCATTGTGTGTGTCCCTGGTGCCCCAGGGTGCGGTGGGTGTGCGGAGCAGTTTGCGAGGGTTGGGGGTTCTTGTCTCTGAATTGATCTGTATTAGGGCACCTCATTCCAGCTGAGGAAGAGGCCCTCCTTTCTCCTACTCCTCTCAGTTGCTGGTCAGCCCCAGAGCAACTCAACTCCAGCCTCTACTCACAGCTGACAAGATTTTAAAAACTGTAGCCAGAGGGAGCTCCCTTTGGAATCCAAAACTAAGGGCGAGAGAAGTTTGCTTGAAGGCTCAGAAGCTGGAGTTAGAAAGCAGTTTGCAGATGGAACCTCAGGGTGGGTGTACTTTTGCGTTACTTGTGGCGAGTGTGTTCAGGTGTGCAAATCAACCCACATCGTGGAAACCTTTGAATAGCTGATGTTTGACACTCTGTATCGGAGAAGTACGGGTGCCTGCCCCGTTAAACACAGGTGAAATGGGCAGCAGCTGAAATCACTGAAGCCACTGAGTCAAACTAGGAGCTGGGAAAATAATAGAGGCTTGCATTTACCCCGCAAGATTAAGACCGAAGGAATTCTCAGTGTTGAGTAGTGGGAGTGTGTGACCATGGTTCTACCCAGTGCGTACACCTGGGTGGCAGGTGATGTTAGTTAAGCTTACAGTACTCTCTGTGTAATTGTAAGAAGCTGCCGTCATTTCGCTTGGCTGTCACACCCATCAAGAGTTGCAGAGAAACTGCTTAGGAACTAAGAGTGAACTTGGAAGCCGAGTAAACAAACAGCAGTATGGTTCATTTTATTTTAATATCCTGAGTTATGTCTACTGCTAGTAAAAAAAAATGCTACATTGCTTTTAATGTGAGTATGTGAAATGAATTCACTGGCTTGGCAAATAGAAGCCATTCATTTCTTTAAGTAAATAGCTGTCAGAGTTAATTTGGGAGCGTTTTCCAGGAGATAAAGACGTGGGAAATCTTTGAGCTAGTTTGGCAAAACTTGTGTAGAGTTGTGTATGGAGAGAATTAGTTCTTCCTGCTTTTGAAGGTAGACTTAAGTGAAAATTGTAGCGCTTCTAGAGACCTATAAATGAACTAGAAGTACTTAACTTTCACTGTTTCCTGTTGCTGTTTTACTAGGGGCCGCCATCAGTACTGCAAAGTCTGAGAGACTGATACCCTGTCAGACTGAAGATTTGTCACTGCTGGTAGCTGCATCCTTCTTGAAGAACCGTGGATTACCTGGGAGCGTCTAGTGACCACAAGCCTCCATTCCCACCTTCCGGACGATCACATTGGGTTGCCATTGTATTGCCTGCTCCAAGATGGCATCCAGCCTGACTTGTACTGGAATGATCTGGGCTTTGCTCTCCTTCCTCAGTGCTGCCACCTCCTGTGTGGGGTTCTTCATGCCTTACTGGCTCTGGGGATCTCAGCTGGGCAAGCCTGTGTCCTTCGGCACTTTCCGGAGGTGCTCCTACCCTGTGCACGATGAGAGTCGGCAAATGATGGTGATGGTGGAGGAATGTGGGCGCTACGCCTCCTTCCAGGGCATCCCGAGCGCCGAGTGGAGGATCTGTACCATCGTGACGGGCCTGGGCTGTGGCCTGCTCCTCCTGGTAGCGCTGACCGCCCTTATGGGCTGCTGTGTGTCGGAGCTCATCTCCAGGACAGTAGGGAGAGTGGCCGGAGGGATACAGTTCCTGGGAGGTGAGTGGCTTCGCTAAAGTTGAGTCGTTTCTAAGTATTGAAAATTATATTTTGTTTGACTGCTGATGCAAGTGTGATTGACATATGCAATGCAAGGAGAAACAGATCTGATATGACCACGGTTATAGATGCGATAGAGTCAAAAGATTTTTACTGAAATTCTTTCAGTGTCAGGGTTATTCATGCCTGTTCATCCTCACACATACACACGCGCACGCGCTTGGCCCGCTGGGTACCATCTATGTGAGACACGCATATGTAGGCTATTTATAACATATGTACTGGGGAGATAGTTTATGTCTTATAGCTTCTTGCTGTTTTGTCCAACAGTAGACCCATGGGTTGTCTTTGCCTTCGTGGACGCTTGAGGTCTTTCGAGGCAAATATTTCATAGAAAAATGCAAAAGGTGTTTGGTTCAATATTGTGATCATGATAAGCCTTGAAGACGCCTGGCAGATATCACATGGACCGTTGTTTAATTTTACACTACATTAGACGTGGGTTTTAGGTGAGTTACGATGTCATCTTGGCCGCTGTGTTTTTCACTGCGTTACAGATACAGTTCTAGGCTGATTATGGCGTGAGATCTTAAGTTCCCCGGGCAACTTTTTCTGTGGAGGAAAGAAAAGAATACAGTGTTTAGAGAACGGTGTGAGCTGTCCCAAATGAACTGGACAGTCTCAATAACACCAGACAGGGTCTGAGTTTTCACTTGGCGCTCTTCCAGCACGTATTGCTCCAATATCTCTGGTCATATGGTTCTAATTGCACTTTATATATTTTCCACTGGGCTTTTCCACCTCCATCCTTCAACCTGACTGGCTGAACTTGTCTGATTTACAATACGCCCTGGTGAAATATGACAGCTTCCCTCAATGGCACAGACTGAAGGGGAAAACAGGAAGGCTGGAAGACCTGTAAAACTGCATGTGTAACTTCATAACAAAGTAAAAGTCTATTATTCTTCCACGTGACGTTTTCTTACAGTCTTTTGTGAAGAACCCCCCCCCCCCCCCAAAAGAAAAGGCCTTAAAAGTGACCGTTTTGTGGTGTCTGGTACAGATTAGAAGACCCCAGCACCTCATTACACGTTATTTACTGTAAAACTTTGTAAGTAGGGATCCTGAGAATGGGTACAGCAAGGCAGCTTTGTGTGTCCGGGCAAGACTCAGACCGATGTGCGGTCCTTTATTTTCTCATCCAGAATAAACTCCACTGGGTTTTGCATCTTCATCTGCGCTGGGAGGTGCTTTGGGGGCCTGACAATCCCCCTGCCTGCTTCTCTGTCCACCACTGGCTCTGTCTAACACATATGTTTACACAGAAATATAGTAAAACTTTTAGGAAACATAAGGAAGTTGTCACTGAAAATGGAAATATAAATACAGGGTTCAGAAACTTGTTTTTGTCACAGATATTTAGAGCAAAACCAATGCTGGGAATATTGAGAGGAATTTTTTTTTTTTCTTTGAGAATGAACTGGGCTTGCTATTGTTTTACTTGGCTCTGGAAAAATGCTTAGGCAGTTTCATTTTTCTCCTCTTATGGTAAACATTACTTTCCATTTTTTTTCATTTTGGAGCAGAGATTGCTATTATTTCTGGCAGAATAGGAAAGTGCTTACAAAGAGAAATCAGCTTTTATTGATTATCTCTAAACGTGTAATGAAGGAAGGCAACCAGAAGTGAATCCGAGACCCTGGAGATTTATCCTCCCCTCTCTAAGCTATGTATAGATTTTTTTTTTGAATTATATGGAGCCAACCCTTCTCTTAGACTACCCAAGGGGAAAGACAATTGAGAAAGTTATATACATTTTAAAATAACCATGCTTTTCTCTGTATATATGCTTCATGATCCTCTGTTTGGTAAGAGTTACTAATATTAAGTTAGGGACAGATATCTTTGATAAGGTTGCCCCTTCCTTCCTCCTTCCCTTCTTCCTTCCCTCTCTTTCTTCATTCTTAGCACTTTTCCTTGTGTGTGCTTGTGTTCCTGTGTGTAGTATGTGCACATACGTGCATGTATAGGTGTACACAGAGGCTAGAGATGGACATTAGGTGTTCTGCTATGTCACTCTCCTCCTTGTTCCCATGAGACAGAGTCTCTCACTGAATCTGGAGTTACACTGGCTGCCTGCAAGTCAAGGAGTCCTTCATTTCTGCTCCCAACGGTGTTGGGGTTTCAGGTATATGCACAGCAAAGCCTGAGTTTACACGTGGGCACTGGGGATTTGAACCCAAGCATTCACACGTATACAGCACAAATATTCTTTCCCATCTCAACAGTCCCCAGCAGTTGGCATTGTCTTATTTCCTTCACTTAGGTCAGGTGGAAATAATTCTGGCAGTAAAAACCCAAGAGGTCTATTAAAAATTCCAGCTCTTGAACAGATATGCCCATTACCACAGATAATAGTGAACTTAGGGTTAAGAAGATAACTTGGACCATGGAGAGAGATTTTGAAAATCTGTTGTTGCTCATCAACAGCTAATAAGAGGACAGATGATAAAACGCAATGCCTTCTGACGAACTTCTCCAGTTGTTCACTACATAGCTGTTTCTCTTTTTACCCACAAAACTTACGCGGTTAGTAGTTCTCTTCTACTTGAGTTTTCAGAAAGCGGTCGAGTGTTTTTAAAGACCAGAAGATGCCAGATCAGTGAGTTTTGAGAGGCTTTAGCTCAGTGTCAGAATGTAATCAGCATTTATGAGGCTCTGCCGGGAGGCAGATTTCTCTTACTAAAAATGAATCACCCAGAAGGGTTATGTTTAGCTAAAGTGAGGCTTGTTCCAAAAACAACAGGAAGCAGAGGAATGGCAAGATACAGAGGCATCTTGCTTACCCCCGTCTGCTGGATCTGGAGTCTGCCCATATGGTGTAGCATCGGGCAGTACGACCCCTGTAGTAGTTTGGAACGAAGTAAAGGACAGAGTGTCAACCTTGAATTGGAATAGTCTTGTGATGGCTGACGAGAGGTTGAAATGTCACCTTTCAACCAGTCCACCAACGAAAGTTGGGGACTTCTGTATGGAGACCTTCTGTCTTAGGGACACTTCAAGAAACCAATGAATACTTTTTTCCCCGAGATAACTTGTGGGTGAGCTTTATTGCTGCTGTTTTTATTAAGAGGCATGCTTGCATCATAATTTAAAAATAGTGAGCTTTGAGTTTTGCTCTTTCTTGAGTTTTTAAAAAGCCTGTAGAAAGGCTTTGGAAAATAGAGTATGTCATAAAAACATTTGTGGAATATACTTAGGGTACTCTGTAAAAAAAATGTTTGACTTCTGTCTTTCTTGTCCAGTATAAGATTATGTCCCCTCAAATTCTGTAGTCATTAGACACACACACACACACACACACACACACACACACACACACACAGAGAGAGAGAGAGAGAGAGAGATTGATTTTCAGTCAGCCAGTCAGTCTATGCATACTGGGGCACAACTTATGCTAGATATATGACCAGATAGCAAACACATACACACTCACTCATAAACAACTCTCTCTCTCTCTCTCTCTCTCTCTCTCTCTCTCTCTCTCTCACACACACACACACACTTAAGAGGAGACCTGATATTTGCATTCCTGCCAAGTTCAAGGCCTAGCACTGCTGTTGCTTCTGAGGCCACAGTTTAAAATGCTGCTTTAAGAAAAGCATTTCATATTAGGATGGCAGATGACTTCTAAGACTTAGTTAGTTGAGCCATGATCTTGTATAAACTTCCCTAATCTAGCTATAAAAGGGTCCCCACCTTTGTAGTTTGCTATTTTGGGTACATCTTGGGCACATTTGCCTTGTTCTTGTCACCTTTTCCTGGAATTAGTTTTAGATATCTATTAAATGCATCTCATCATGTTTGTGATATTTGTGTTATATAAAATTTCCCTTCATTTGTCATTTTCCTATACCAGACACAAGATTTATAGGAGGAAAACTAAAAGCAAGACTGCATTTTAGCCTCTGTAGTTGGCATTGAATGGATTTGGGTGTCCAGTAAGGAACTTTTCACTGGGATGGTCCCAGGCAGCTCCAGGCCAACTCCATACCACTAGGTACACCTTTGTGATGCTGAATGGTTAGATGGGGAAGGCACTTGAGGAACTAGCTTTGGTTAGTGAGCCATTTCCTGATACACTCTTGCTCAATGGTAGGGACCCTCAAATTTTAAAGGCCTTGCCTTTCATTCCTATCATGTGTACTGATAGCACACAAGGAATAAGATTGAGCTGGAGGCATAGACCATCTTCGGTGTGAGCAGGAGACATAGACCGTCTTCGGTGTGAGCAGGAAGAGTTATAGTCGGACGTGACATTGACAATGCCTGCCAGATTCTGCCTGCTCTGAGTTCTAGGTTTCTCACAGGCAGGAATGATGACAAATCAGCCAATAATTCACAAAATCTGTAGCATCAGAGTTTATGTATTCGTACCTAGCAACGGTTTTGAATGGCGTGTTTCAGGGAGCCATTGATGTCAGTTTTACTTTTCACTTACAGATCTTTTCTGAGTCTTGATCTAGGACTTTTCCCATTGTTTGGTTATGTCCCTATAAAGCTCCCAAGCTTCTTGGGTAGGAATTCAATGCAGCATCCTTTTAGCTCTATGAGAGCCTAGAGATGTCACCCATGACCTTAGTGTCCGTGAAGTCTCCAGAGTTCTGCCCCAAAAGGTGTTGAGCAGGGCTAGGTGGAGACCAGGTGGAAAAGGCTGAATGAACTTTCCCAGTGATGACTAGCCCAGTTGGTGTACAGAACCCGTTTTGAACCACAAGCCAGTGCTACTCACTTAGACCTCACCCTCTGTTCTAAGTCATGCTGTTTAGGTCACTGCGTAGACTTACACAGGTGCCAATCCTAGATGAAGTCATCAGACTTGTTATTTGGGGATTTGTTGAAATACGAGCGGTGGGCTGTGTCCCGCCACCCGGCTAGCTTTACCCGAAATAATTACACGGAAACTGTATTCTTTTAAACACTGCCGGACCCATTAGTTT